CAGGTCGAGGCTGCGGTGGCCGGGAGCGGCCACTGCACTCCAGTCTGGGCGACCGAGTGAGACTCCAACTTAAAAAAAAAAAGGGAGCTGATCCCCTTCCAAGGAGGAGAAGGAACTGTGACTATTCCCAGTTACAAATTGCCTCTGAGGTCAAGGCTTCTGAGAGGAGCAGGCACAGGGAACCCTTTGGGAGATTGGGACAGAGGGAGGCAAGGATGAAGGCATTGAGTCTTTACAGTACTTCAGCTGCAAGCAGGCTCTGACCCAAGAGTTGGGAAAGTGAGACACAGCCCCTGCCCTCCACACTGACCGCTGACCTGCAGACTCACAGGCACACAACTTTGGTCCACACCCTGAAGACAGGATGCTCAGTTTTCACCCTTGACTCCACAGTGGCATCACAGAGGGAACATGGATTTCCCAGGCACTACACCAGAGATTCTGATTGCGTTGGTCTGGTGCAGGGCCCGAGGCATCTAGGAGCCTTGGTTATTCGAAAAGCTTCCCAGGTGATTCTAATGTGCGGCTGAGGCTGAGATTCAGTAGACTAGGTTGCTCAGGAGAGCATCCCAGGGCCCGGGGGCTCCAGACCACAGGTCCAGGCACAGCAACAGCCTCCCTCTCCAGTTCCCTTCTTGATCCACCAGAAGGAAGGGAAGTTGGAGCCAAGACTAGCTTGCAGAGAATAACTTAAGATAACCACCAGAGCCGTCTCCATGCATCACCCAAGCATGCATTTGATAGCTATTTAATATAAGTGCCATGAAGGCAATGATAGAAACTGACTGGGAATCCAGTTTAGAGTGGGCATTCAGGCCCCTCTGAGGAGGTGACATTTAAATCAAGACCTGAGTGACCAAAAGGAGGTTGCCATGTGCGCTGCCTTGACGAGCAGAGAGAACAGTAGGTGCAAAGGCCCCGCACAGGGAGACGAGAGGGCATGTGGCTGGAACATAACCGATGGAGAAAAGTGCAGTGGGGTGAAGCCTGGGAGGTGGGCAGGGCACATGGATGCTGTGGCAAGGAGGTGGCTTTCATTCTCAGTGCAATGGGAAGGACCTGCAAGGTTTTCAGAAGGCAACAACATGACCTGGCTTGTGTGTGTGTGTGTGTGTTCTTGTTTGTTTGTTTGTTCTGAGTCAAGGTCTCACTCTCACCCAGACTGGAGTGCCATGGCACAATCACGGCTCACCACAGCCACGACCTCCTGGGTTCAGGCGATCCTCCCGCTTCAGCCTCCCAAGTAGCTAGGATTACAGGCACATGCCACAATGCCCAGCTATATTGCCCAGGCTTCAAGCGATCCTCCCACCTTGGCCTCCCAAAGTGCTGGGATTACAGGCATGAGCCACCACGCCCAGTCACGCAGTGTGTGTTTTTAAGAGATACTCTGGCTGTGGTGGGGAGGGAAGCTGGTGGAAAGACAGGTGGACTCGGGTGAGCACTCCACTCCATCGGAGTGGCAGGCATCCTGAGCTCAGGCCCTAAAGAAAGGATAAGGACTCAGCTCTTCCCCTCAGTGGGGAATGTAGGTCAGGCAGTCCAGCTCCTTCAGCCCAGCCGCCAGCACAGCCCCCTCGCCTGTCAGGGGGAGACAAGCTGAGTTGGAGGTGTGTGGGCTCAGCCGAGAGATCAGCACTGGCAGGGGAGGCAGAGAGAACAGTCGCCCAGGTGCAAGGAGCTGGGCCACCACAGGGGTCCCTGCGTCCCCTTCACAGGACACCTCTCTCCCCCAACCCTTCTGTCCCCTCACAACCTCCCCCGTGGTCTCCCCAGACGCAGGCCTCAACATGTGCCTGGAGCAGGTGGCTGCATTTTAAGATCAGGGCTCAGCACTCTAAATAAACCATAAACAAAGCCAGCTTCTTCAGTACAGAAGAAGGGGGATGGTTCCGTCTCTTCTCAGCACAGTGACTGGGAAATAAACAAGTGGCTCTGCCTGTCACATACACTTACCCTCTGCAAAGGCATCTGTCAGACCCACAGAGCTTCTGCTTCAGCCTTTCCAAGAAATAACTGAGGTGCCCCAAACTCAGGCTTCTGCCTGCAGGCTCCAAGTTCACTTTGCCATTCAAGGGAAGGTGGGTATGGCGGCTTGTCCCTGAACCCAGACTCACAGGAAAAGCGACCCAAGTCCAGGTTCAGACACAGGGCCCCAGTGTAGCCAGGGGCACGTTGGCACAGCTCTCTCAGTTGGGGAAGGGAGGGTGGGAGGAAAGGTGGGAGGTGGGGGGCATTGGCAGGAGTAGGGGGCAGAGCTGAGAGGGGCCTGGAGCAGCCCCTCTTAGAGAGATAGGAGGGGCGAGTGCCCCTCGGGGTCCAGGCTGAGCCCCGGCAGTGTGCAGGTGGGGTGGCTGCGGGTGTGGGAGAAACAAAGAGAAACAGAAGGCAGAGGGCTCTCTCTCCACGGGTGAAATCTCCCACGACCACAAAGGACGAGCAAGAACACAAACGGCAGGAACAGGAGGCAGGCGGATACATCAAGCAGAGGAGGGAGGAAACCCCAGAGTCATCAAGCCCAAGCCTTTCTAGGAGGAGGGACCTCCACACACAGCAGGAAAAGGTGATTGATGCTTGGAGCTAAGCCGGAAGAGTCAGGAGCTGAGGCCCAGGGAATGGGAGTGGCTGGGGATGGTGGCATGCAGTCGCAGAAGCTGCAGGCGTGATGGGGGAGCATGAGGAGGCTGTGAGCTTCGGAGGGGCCAGAAGGCAGGTGGCCCAGGGTGAGAGGACACGCGTGAGGGTTGGTGAAAGTCACAGGGCCTGTGAAGTCTGCCACCAGGTGCTGCTGCTACGGGCACCTGCAGCAGGGAGACCTCACAGCTGCCATCACCCCCAAGCCATGGGGGGGAGTTGAGGAAGGGTGACAGAGGTAGCTACACAGTGATCATGCATGCACGTAAACACACACACCCTTAGTGAGGGCTGGCACAATCTCAGCAGCTCTTCCATAGGGATGAAGGAGACCCACAGGCCTCCAGACTGCAGCCTAGTGGGGTGTGGGGAGCCACAGACTTCAAATGATAGATGCAGCAGACCTAGACAGAGGCTACTCTCCAAAACACAGGCCCTGCAAGAAAGGGAGATGGAGACAAAGAACATCAATGTCAGATACTCTCTCTCGGCCTCTGTCTCCCACATACCCCTCTAGCATCAAACACATGAGAAAGCCAGGTTATGTGGCCTTCGCTACCCCATTCTCCCTCCCACATGTGGTTGCCTTCCTGAGGTCTACACACCTGCGGAGGCTACAGGGGCATGGGTGTGAAGCCCCCTCAGCAGGCCACACACCTGCACACACACTCACACATAACCAGACACAAGTGGCTGGCACAAGGATGGGTCAGGCTTGGACTCAGGATCCCCCTCATGAAACCAGATCAAATGTCCTCCCCAGGTCCCCCAAGGAGGTTTAGAGCACCCTAGAGCTATGCACAGCACTCCTCCAGCTGGGGTGGCCCCGCCAGGGCTGCATAAAGAAAAGGATGTGCCTCCCACTGCAGCTGTGGTGGCTGCCCTGTGAGTCCAGAGCCACCCTGTAAGGGTTTTCCCAGGATTTCTGACCAGGCAAGTAGACACTAGCTCCCTGCTAAGCGCACACACCTCACAGGGCTCCAGTCTTGGCAAATGGACACCATGCAAAAGGGCTGAAAGACCAAGGGCCTCCCCTTGGCATTCCCCAGGGACTGTAGGTTCATTTCTCAGCTCAGCCCAGTTGGCTGGGCCTCAAGGACAATCCTAGGAGACCAAGAGGTCAGATCTGGGCCAGAGTTTTCTTGAGAATGGGGACACAGATCCTGAGCCCATATACGCTGGACTCACCTTCCCCAAGCCCTACAGTGGGCATGCACACAGCTCTCAGTAGATTACACACAATCGACCCTGTCACAGTCCCACTGAACACGGCACTGCACACAGCACACTGTACACACAGCATTATATACACACACTGCACTGATACACGTCCCAGGTTTCCCCATACCGGCACTCTGTACACATCTCCCCGCCCGCCAGGGGACGCATTTTAATCAACGTCGTACACACAGGCCTTGACAATCCCCACCGTCCTTAGCCTACACACCGCGCCACGCAGCCCCCGCAGGCCCCACCCCGCCGCGGCCTGTGCACACGCAGGGCCACACGGAGCTCCCAACAAAGCTCCGCGACTCCGGGCCCGCAAGCTGAGCTGAGCTCCACCCAGGCTGCCCTGCCCCCTCTCCTCCCCCCCTCCCCCCACCTCACAACCCCGTTCTCCAACAACGCCACCCCTGGCTTCAGGAAACTTTTCTTCCGGCCCCTCCAAGGGTAAACCTGCAGCTCCTCTGGTCCTGCCCTACCCCCGGCACGTGCAAGGGCCCTTTATTCCCCAGCCCGGCTCCTGCCAGACCCCGCGGGGAAGGTCACCGTAGGCAGCCCCCTGCCTGCGCCCCGGGGGTGGTGACAACAACAGCTGTCGCCGGGGGACGGGTGAGGGTAGGGAAAGGTGTCGGCCCCGCGCCGAGCCGGGAGCGCAAGGTGGTGCGGTGACGCGCCGGGGACGGAGAGAAGCGGCGGCGGC